ATCCACCCTGACTGCTCTTTAGAAGGCCAGATCCTGAAGGTGAAACTCAAAGACTTTGGCCACCTCATGAGAAGGAAGAAGGACTCGCTGGAGAAGAGCCTAATGCTGGGAGCGATGGAGGACAATAAAAGAAGAAAGGGATGGCAGAGAAGGAGGCGGCTGGATGGAGTCATGGAAGCAGCAGACATGAGCTTAAATGGACTCCAGTAGAGGACAATGTTGGAGGAAAACTGTCAATGGGGTCGCGATGGGTCGGACACAACTTTGCAACTAACAACAACAAAATAATTGGTTGAGGTTACTCAAGTTGCAGGTCTGCCTGTTGGCTTCTCGTTCTAAGATTAAACTATGTTGTAACCGCCTTAAAGAATGAGTTTCCCTTCTGTTAACCCAGCAGGACTTTCCAGGGATGGTTGGAAGTGATTTGCATCTCGCAGTTCTTGTGAGGTCACAAAGGAACCCTAGCCTGGTGGTCTGGATTGGTGCACACCAAGACTTCTTCTTTGGACATAAATCGTGGAGATGACTCAAGAGGTCAGAGCTGTGTCCCTTTGGGGGGACTCCTTCCTCTGTTTCCCTCCTTCTATTTTTTTCAGACCCCATTTTTCAAATTGTCAGCGTCCTCTTCATCCCCTTTTCTTCTTCGCAGCTGCCTCACCAGAGGTCCAGACAAAGAAGTCAATGGGAGCCGAAGGAACAAAGCAAACGGCTTGTCCCTCAAAGGAAAGGAGCCGAAGAGGAGGCTCCACGGTGAAATATGGAAGAAATATTACAAATTTTCCCAGGCTTGAATGATCCGGCTGCTGGGGGAAGCGCATCTGTTTTAAATCTCTCGGAGGCGATCCTGTTATGGATGTTAGTCTTGGAGAAGCAAAGGTTTCCTTCACAGTTAGCTTCTCTTTTCAAATTCACTCATGAGTTGGAAGGAAGAACGGTGCTTAGAAACACCCAGGGATTCCATCTTACGTCTTGTTTTTGGGGGGTGGGGAGAAATAAAGAGTTTGCACAATGAATTGGCACAATGGAAAGCCATGTTGTTCCTCTCCATTAGTTGGTTCAAAGGTGGTATTCAGCAGCAGGTTCTGACCAGTTCTGGAGAACCAGTAGCGGAAATTTTGAGTAGTTTGGACAACTGGCAAATCCCACCTCTGACTGGCCCCGCCAACCCCATCTATTCTCCACCTCCCATTGAGTCCCAGCTGATCGGCTGGGTCTTCTTTGGTTGCCCTGCACAGGAGAACGGAGCTGGAAAGCAGGTTAGCGGGGTGGGGAAGGAAGGGGGATTTTGCAGTATATCCTTCCCCTGCCACATCCACGCCCACAGAACCAGTAGTAAAAAATGTTGAGTCCCACCACTGGGTGGGTTGTAGGTCAGAACATAGAATGAAAAGCTACTCATGGTGCCCTCTATATAACAACTGCAAGGGTCTCCAAACTTGCCAACTTTAAGACTTGTGGACTCCAACTCCTAGGAATGAATTCTGGGAGTTGAAGTCCACAAGTCTTAAAAGTTGCCATGTTTGGAGACCTCTGCTCTAAACAAAGCACAACAGCCAGTAAGAAAGCTTAACCAAGCTGAGCAGAGGAAAGTGCAAAGAATACAATGCTTGGGTCAAATTTTAGAAGCGCCCACTGGGATTCCCCGAGCAGCTGGCGAACCCATTGTTGGCCTTGGGGCCGTTTCTGAAAACACTTGGCAAGCAACGGTGGTGACGGCAGGAGATGCTGAGGAAGGCTACAAGGAAACCTTGCAACCTTCCAGCCAGCTGCAGGAAAGATGAGGTCAGGGGTGCCGAAAACAGAATGGAAAAGGGGGAAGGAGACTTTAGATGGAAGAGTAGGAGGAACCAAGCAAAATGGACCAGGATTCAGGTGAAAATGCCATCTTCTGGGTTTTAAAACTGGAGTCAAGAGAAGGTGTTTGCTGGTTCTCCGAACTACTCAACATTTCCGCTACTGGTTCTCCAGAACTGGTCACAACCTGCTGAATACGCACCTCTGCTTGGAAGTCCACACATCTTAAAGTTGTTGAGGTTGGGGAACGTTGGCCTTGAGGCTGTTCCTGGATGGACCATTTGATCTGATCTGGGAGGTCCACAGGGCAAGGTGACGCCGAGATGGGATACGCATTAAAAGCAGGTGGTGCTTTGATTGGTTATTGTCTTGGCTCTTATCTTGCCCTTGCAGACAACCCTGGATCTGATCCCGCAGAAGGTTCCCCACGAATCTATAATGCTCAACGGGGTCAAAGTGTGCTGCTTTCAACGGCTTAGGAGTCCTTGACAACGCTTCACGGCTCCCACCGCTTGAACGGGTGCAAATAAACGAGAGGTTAAAAGCCAGTCAGAAGGTTGTTTGTCTCAGGTTAACCCGACTGGGGAAACAGGCCCAGGGAGTTGATCGTGATGTTTATGGATCCTGGTATGTTCCTGCTCAGCAGAAATGTGTGTTTCATACAAGCAAACCTGTTTGGGGAACTAAAGGCGAGAAAGAAAAGGCAACAGGAGACACGGTAAGCGCTGGCAAAATTGCTACATTTTGCAAAGAGCAGCAAAGGGTTCTCTGCCAGGTTGCTAGGTGGGCGTAGCCATGGTGGGCGTGGCCTAGTCAGCCTCCTGCACCACGGTGACACGGGGGGGGGGTGTTTTTACCCTCCCCGGGCTCCGGAGGCTTTTCTTGAGCCTCTGGGAGGGCGAAAATGGCCTTCCCGGACTCTGGAGGCTCTCTGGAAGCTGGAAACGGGTCCATATTTCACCCTCCCCGAGTCTCTGTACGTGGCTTGCAATTACCTGCCTCCAAAACGGGCCTCATGGGGACTCCTGGGAGGGGAGAGGCAGGGTGGGCGGGGCCAGCCAGGAGTGGGATTTGGGCGGGTTCTCCAAACTGTGCAGAATCCTAGCTAGGGGCTCTCCTGAACCCCCCACAAACCCCCCAGCAGGCCTCCCCCTCCTGGAAAGCCATGGCAGATTGTCTGCACTAAGACAGAGCGCACGTTTCCAAGGCCCATTTCCTTGCTAGGCAGAGCGAGGGCCTCTTTCTCTGCTGCTGCTGGGGAAGGAACAGGATGGCGTCTTGCTGAGTGTGCATGCGCTAGCAAGCCCATCGTTGTCGGTGCTGCAGCCTTGCACGGGATGGGGAGGGGCTGCAGCCTCTCGACTCTTTCCCCTCTGCCGCGAACTCTTCCGTTTCTTTTTTGGGTTGGGGGGAATCTGTTTGGGGAGGGGAGCGGCTCCATACCTGACCTGCCATGTACTAACCCTGGAAGCTCTGGAAAACACACACACACACACCCCAGTGAACTGGAGAAAAACATCAGTCCAGACAGTGGAGGGGAAAGAGTCGAAAAGAGTTGCATAAAACTCCGCTCCCGGGCAAAGTTTTTTTTCCAGTTTTCTTCGGAAAAACACGAGGGTCTGCCACGCCAAATCCCCTCCACTCTTCCCTTCTCAACAAGGCCCACCAACTGCCCTGGCTGCCATCTGTTTAAGCCCAGATGCTATGGAATGGGTTACAAGGGACCGGTTCACGTTTAGCAGCCGCCGCCGTCGTCGTCGGGAAGTTAAGTGAAGCAGCTGCTAAGGGAAACTGTAATTGAGCTCCTAGTGCATCTTTCCTGTTTTTTTTTGTTGTTTTTTTCAGAACTGGGAAGGTCAGCAATGCCACAATTGTTCCCCAAGTGGCTTTTTTTTGTTGTTGCTGTGGAGATTGCGGTTGTTAAATGAGGCAGCCACTAAACGATGTCTGCCTTTTGAGCTGAGAATTGCAGTTCACTGATTCAGAGGGGACACCAACCCAAAGATAGATGGATGGATGGATGGATGGATGGATGGATGGAAGGAAGGAAGGAAGGAAGGAAGGAAGGAAGGAAGGAAAGAAGGAAGGAAGGAAAGGAAGGAAGAAAAGAGGGAGGGAAAGAAAAGACGGAGGGAGAGCAAGAAGGAAGAAAAGAGGGAGGGGGACATTGCTTTGCCCAGGCCCCATGATGCCGTTAAGACAGCCCTATGCAAAATTTTGGAAAAATGAAAATATTCCCCCAGATGAGGAGATAATCAGAAAGATCCCAGAATGTGCTGAAATGGACAATTGAACTTGAAAAAGAAAAGAAAAAGAAGACTCAGAATACTATTTGATATGGAATAGATTTTATAAGTGGCTTAAAACAAGGGGTAGAAGTTAAGGCGAAGAAAAATGATGGAGGTTCTTATTAAAAACAGGGAAGATATAGAACTACAATAAATATTAAAAAATATGAATGAGTTAAATACAAAGAATGAGAACTGCATTGTCTGGGAACTGTAGTATTACTAGAGCTGTTAATTGAGGTGTTAATATATTATGAGTATTATTATTAGTAAATGGACAATATTTTTACAGTATTAGCTATGTTTCTTTCTATGTTTATAACTTATAAATATTAAAAATATGAAAGTTAAAATACAAAGAATGAGAACTGTATTGTATGGGAATTGTAGTATTACTAGAGCTGTTAAGTTAGGTGTTATTATATTATGAGTATTATTATTAGTAAATGGACAATATCTTTTACAGTATTAGCTTTCTTTCTTTCTTTCTTTTCCTTCTTTCTTTCTTTCTTACTTGTAAATAATATATCCGGACAAAACGTTTTATTCAAAAAAATGTCTACGAATAAACTAAAATAAAAACAAAAGACGGCCCCTGAGCGGCTCTTTTCTTTGTCTGGAGGAGGAAAACCTGCCCCGGGCGGCCCGAGTGGCGCTTGCCGGCTCCGCTGCACGCATCTGCCAAGGGCAAGGCGAGCCAGATGTGGGCGCATCTGCAGCCGGACACCTGGGCACCCCTCCAGCAACCTGCTCGGATCCGCCTGCTTTTTTTCCGCGCTGGTGCAGCCCACCCTCACGGGGAGGGGAGGGGAAGGGGGGAGGGGGCAGGGGCCGTCCGGGGTGCCCCCCTCGGAGCGGCCCCTCCCCTCGCCCGTGACGTCAGCCGCCGGGCTCCAGCTCCCCGGCTTCTTGGCCGCAGTCGGAGTCCGGGCACGTTGCGGGCAACCATGAGCTGCGGACGGCTGAGCTCCCTGGCGTTGCTGGGCTGCCTCCTGCTCGCCAGCTCCTGCGGCAGAGGTGAGTAGGGGGCGCTCCGGGCTGGAAGGGGAGGGTCTTCTTGCCCCCTCCCCCCCCAGACCCAAGGCGCGGTCCAACCTCTGGTAGGCTTCCTCGGGGTTGCAACCAGCTTGGATTGCCCGGCGCAGCGCGCGTCTGGCGCTCTCCAACCCCGGCGTTGCTTCTTTACTCCGGCGTTGTGTGTTGGTGGGGGCGGCTCCCGGAGCCCCTCCGGTTCCAAGCGAGCCCGGGAAGGTGCCTGCATGCTCAGGAGGTGCCCAGCCCTGGAGGTGCCTGCATGAGAAGTGGGTGCCCGGCTTGCCCGTCCGGGGGAAGCTTTCGGCTAAGCAGGGCGCGCGAGTCCCCCCACCCGGTGCCGGAGTAAAGCGAGGCGCGCCTTTCGCGCTCTCCGGCTAGCCCCGTTGGAGAGAACACACCCACCTTTCTCCTTCCCTCCGCCTCTACTCTACTCTACTCCAGGGTGCAGCAGCTGCTACAAGCGCTTTGCAACTAGTGGAGGGGAAAAGGGGGCGGGGTGCGCGGAGGTGAAGAAAAGGGAAGGCACAAAAGCGCCGAGGTTGGGGAGCCGAGGGCGTTGGGGAGGGGAGGTGGCGAGGGCTGGGAGGCTCAGGGGATCCTCCCCAAACGCAGCCCCTGCAAGACCCCCGTCCGTCTGTCCCCTCTCTACTCCCCCCACATCCACCCCGTTTTGATTTACGACCCCGAGTTGGGCGTGCATTCATCGGGCACCGCCTGTTCTGGTGGAGGGGGGGAAATGCGGCGGGGGGGCGAGGGATCGGGTTCCTCGCCCCCTCCCCAGGTATTAAGAGGGGGATTCCCTAGGACGACCCCCTGGCCTCGCCCCCACCCCGCTTCCCAGGCGCGGAGACCGAGGAGGAGGGGGCGAGGGTGGGGGGGAGGAGGCGGGTCCGTCTTTGCTGCAGTCTCGTTCGGGTTTTTTTTTCTTTTCCTTTGCAAAGCGTGCTCAGGGCAAAGCCCTTCGGGACCCCTCCCACAAAAGGAGCCCGCTGTTGCCCACCGCCACGTCTGGAACTGGCTGAGGTTAAGGAGCCCTGTGGTCCTACCCCGTCGAGTAGGAACCCAGCTGAGCCGGACGGTGCCCGAGACTCGCTTCCAAACCGCGTTGAGCGCAAGGCGTGGAAAAGCCTCCAACCGACCCAGCCCTTATTCCTTCTTTTCGGGGAGCGGTGTGGGGGCAATGCAGCGTCCTTCCCGGGGTTCCGTGGGGTTCAAGCCCTCCCCACGCCCCCTTTCCTCGTTGCAAATGCGGTTGCCTCGGAAAGGGTGGAGCCCAGCCCGGCACCAGCTACTCAGCAGGCAAAAGATCTGGCTGGTTTCTGGACAGTGGGGGGAAGCCCCCCCCCCCCCCCACGCCCAGCTTCTCGGTTCGGTCACCTTTGCTCCATCATGGCCGCAAAGAACCGGGAGCTAAACCTCCTTTATTGCATCCCAGAGGCAGAACGAGGCGGTTTCTTCCCCCCCAGCGGGACAAGCCCAGATCTGCCTTGGCGGCTTAGAAGGAGGGATTGTGGCTGGTGCAAGCCAGCGTCCCGTCCCCATTCCCCCCCTCCCCTCCCCTCCAGGACAGGTGGCTCTGCTGCCTATTTTCCCGGCCCCTCCCTGCCCATGAAAAACAGGGCACTGAGGGAGGGGATTCCGGGCACATGCCACCCGCCCACTTTTCATGCCTGAGCTTCCTTGCTAGGCTGGGGGCCCCCAGTTTTTGACATTTGACGCCTGCGTCTTGTGTAGCTGGCGTTCTCCAAGGCTGAGTTGAGGTCTCTCTTCTTCCAAACCCAGAGAAGGGGCCACCTGTCTCCCTCCTCCATCTGTTTGGCCATCCTTAATTCAAGATGGCAGAAATCTCCACTATCCCAAGGGCGTGGTGCCCAGGGGCTCAAAAAAGAGATCCGTCGGGCGGTCAGATTTTAAAACGTGCCCTTTGCAATTCAGCGCAGCCTCTTCCTCCGGCCAAGCCTTTGCAAGATGAGCTGGCATCTCCTTTGCTTTTCCAACTGCTAGGCTGGGTCGTGCCCTGTTCAGGGAAGGTGCGTGGACTTTGCTTCTTCTCTTTCTATTCCTATCCCGGTTTACGTATTCAGAAAAGATTTGTGATGGGGAAGAGATTTCGTAAAACAAACAACCTACGGAAATGCAAAAAAGCCCCTGTTGTTGTTGTTTTTTTGCTTCGTTTTGATGGAAAGTATTTATAATGGGGAGCGAGGGAAGAGAGAATGGTGCCAAAAATGTCCAGGGCTGCGCTCTGCCTGGGAACAAGCTGTACGTTAAAATATGTACGAGTTTTTCAAGGAGGAAAGGAAGGGATGAAGGCGTGCGCTTTGAAATCAGGGATGGGAAAAGAGGGACTGAGGACGAGCGGGCAGTTTTGCTTTGCGAATCTTGCAGTTCTTTCAATTAGCAAGCCTTACCGGCTGTAGTATTATTCCTTTGTAAGTAACCTTAGAAAATAAAAAAATTGAGGGCGACTTTCGCCCTGTGCTTTGTCCATGGCTCAGAAGGTAAAAGACAAATCCTGCTGTATAGTGCAATATTAATACAACATGGGGGTTTTCAGTTCAGTGTATAGAATGTGAAGGATACGTGTTTGTGTGTTTATTTTCATAGTCATAACGTACACTGAAGACGGTATTTAATTTCGTTGCACAAGGTGCAAGGACAGTAAAATAAAGTAAACTAAACTAAACAAAGAGAAAAAAAACCTCAGGTGATGGAGAACGGATTCAGGATTGAATAACCAACTTGCTTTCTGTCTAAAATTATATTTTGTGTCCGGCCACACCCTTCCCAATGCTCAATTTGAGAGACTGCTCACTGCAGGACAGCTGTGGGTGGACTTTTATTTAGGCGACTTCGATAACAGCAGGCTTGCGATCCTCCGGTTAAAAATCAAATCGATACCTAAAGGCAAATGGCATCAAATCCTAACCTCGAACGCGCAAGTGCAGACAGATCCTGGGCGTCCTTTCTCCAGGGATTGCGTTTCTGAATGGTAGGCGTGAATGCAGCATGTGGCTGTGGTAGGCGGAGCTCTTCTTAGGGGGAAAGAGATGAACCCATCAGTGAAAAATCAATGGGTTTTTTTGCCTCGTTCTGGATCTTATGTGAAGGGAATCCTCAATTGGGTTCATGCCAGCAAAGTGGATACCTTCTGATACCTTTTGGGTACTCTTCAAGGGCAGCCCCACATAGAGCACATTGCAATAGTCTATTCATGGGGGTGGAAGTGAGAGGTGTAACCATCTCTGATCCATTGGCTCGTGCCCATTTCCAGGATCTTCTGTCATCGATCATTAGGCCTTGTAGAAGCTTCTACCTCTAGGACGGTGTTTTTTTTTTTCAGCTTGCCAACTTTCCGGACTCCAAATCCCAGAATTCCCCAGTCAGCTTGGTTGACTAGGGAATTCTGGGAGTTGAAGTCCATATGAAATCCACTCAACCTACGTTCTGTTGATGAGACTTCTCCACCTGGCCCACCTTCCGTTTCTCCTTTCAGGAAATAATTTTTGGGACAATACCATGTAGCTGAGCATGGCCTTACCATCTGGGACATGGGGCAAAGGGCCCACTAGGAATTCTTTCCAGCTTGGAAAAAATGGTTGGACATACCCAAAGGTGCATTGTTTTTCTTAGGAAGCGACTGGACTTCCTTGTTTTTCTTCGAAGATGTTTCTCTTCTCATCCAAGAAGCTTCTTTGGCTCTGACTGGATGGTGGGGACATACAAAACCTTGGAGAAGGAACCCATCTGTCTTTCTGGGTTGGGTGTCCCAGTTTTGTCTGTGCCTACCTGTCTTGACATCAAGAGTGTTTAATGTTGTTTTAGAAGGTGTCTCGAACGGTGAAATAATTAACTCGGGGGTCTTCAAACTTGACAGCTTTAAGACTTGTGGACTTCAACTCCCAGAATTCCGCCTCCAGCCATGGTAGCTCAGGAATTCTGGGAGTTGAAGTCTACAAGTCTTAAAGCTGTCAAGTTGGAAGACCCTTGAATTAACTGAATGGTTCAGCAGACCCATGGTGGAGAGGCCACTGTTATTAGCTTCTCTTTGGAGATCTGGGGAGTTTGGCAGATGAGGCTGAATCTAAATCATGGCTAGTCTAGTGAAGAGAAGGACCAGGGGAGACGGGAGAGCAACCTTCCCATATTTGAGGGGCTGCCCCCAAAGTGGAGGAGGGGAGTCAAGCTATTCTTCAAGGCACCTGAATAATGCCAGACAAGGAATAATGGATGGAAACTGAACAAGGAGAAGAGATTCAATCCGGAAATACGGAGGAATTTTGTGACAGGGAGAGCAATCAACCCATGGAATAGCTTTCTTCAGAAGTTGTGGGAGCTTCATCGCTGGAGGCTTTCAAGAAGAGACTAGACTGAAATGTGGTAGGGTTACCTGCTTGGGCAGGGGGTTGGACTAAATGACCTGCAAGGTCCCCCTTCCAACTCTGTTAAAGTACATGTTCAAAGGTTGTCCACCGCCGCAGCTTTCCCTACTCACTTCTCACAACCTCGCAGAAGTTCCTTCTCCTAATCGCATCCGATAGGTATGGAAATAACCGGGTCTCACTCAGACTGACTCACCCCTCCGGTTGGGTTGCTTCCCTTGGAAGGCGGGGAGCCCAGCGGAGATCATCAGACAACAATTTTGGAGGAGATCCAGAGAATTGGGATCTTAAATTCCACGTCTGCTTTGAATTCCTGTTACCTTAGTGGTGAAGGTGGGGGAAGAAAAGGGAGTATTTGAAAGTGTTTAAGAAAAAATACTAGGGAAAATATTCCCATCTAGCAGAGACGCAACAGTGAAAGTTGGAGAAGGAAGAATTTCAAATATAGTCGCTTCGTGAACCTTTTGAAGCTGAAAAAGGGGAGCTACAACCTGGTTCTGAAGTTCTGATGTTTTGGGGGGGGGGCCCTTATTCTCCCCACAAGCAAAGGTCCCAGGACGGCTCTTTTGGTGCTCAGCAACACAACCACAGTTACAACCA